AGGAAGCCACACAGCTTCGGATAATGGTTTGTTCTTCCAGCTAACCAGAAACTTGTGATATCCCCCGCGACGCGTTGAAACAAATTGATGATCACGGATAGCATTAACCTCGTCATGTTTTACTGGCATAGTAAGAATTCGGACCACTGGTTCCTCTGGTGGTTCATCTTCTATTACCTCACCTTTGTACTCTGTTAAGTCTTCGACATTGAAAATTGGGCTAATGCGATAGTTTGGTGGTAAGTCTACAACATATGCATTGGTGCCCAACTTCTTAGGGATTGGAAAAGGTCCTGCCCATCGAGCATGGAGTTTGTTATAGCTACCTGGAGGAAATCGTTCTGAACGAAGCCTGATCAAAACCATATCACCTACTTCGTATTGCTTGTCCCTTTTTTTTTATTTGCTTGGTTCGAGTATTCCTCCACCTGGACCACAATCTTCAATCGAAAATCATCATGCATAGTGGACATATATTTGGAGAAATCAAGTGCTGCTTCGCTAACCTGCAGTGGCATAGGAAGAGAGCTGATATCTAGGGGAGTTTTTTGGACTGTACACAAACAATTTGAAACGGTGTGCACCCAGTTGTTGGGTTTACTGAATTGTTAAAGGCAAATTCTGCTTGAGGCAAAATTAAATCCCAGCTGGTTGCATGATCTTGGACAAGGCATCGAAGCAAATTGCCTAAACTCCAGTTTGTGACTTATGTCTGGCCATCCGTCTGTGGGTGGAACGCATTGGAAAAGGCTAACTTTGCACCCATCTTCGACCATAACGTTTTCCAAAAATAACTCACAAACTTCACATCACGATCAGAGACAATTATAGATGGGATTCCATGCAAACGTATTATTTCCTTTAAGAACAAGGTTGCAACTTGCGAAGCATCATAAGTTTTCCGGCATGACACAAAATGGGCCATCTTTGAAAAACGGTCGACAACCACAATCATTACCTGGAAGGGTTTTGGGCAAACCCAACACAAAGTCCATGCTAAGATCAACCCATGGTCGGTGCGGTATCGGCATGGGAGTATACAACCCTGAGTTTTGTTTTACCCCTTTATTAAGTTGGCATACTCGACAGCGGTTGACAATAGTGTACACATCATGACGCATACTTGGCCAGAAAAAACGATCGGCAACGACTGCAAGGGTCTTGTCATAGCCAAAATGTCCTGCGAGACCACCACCATGGAGTTCACGGATTATGAACTCTCTCAAGGACCCTTCTGGCACACAAACTCGAGATTGTCTGGTGAGGAACCCATCCTTGATAGAGTAACCAAACACCATGGTGGGTGGATCTTGCTTGAGGTCCTCCCAAACAACCTTGAAATCTAGATCTGTGGCATATTGATCCTTCATCGCTTCAAATCCCGTAGCATTTACACAAAAAATGGGCAACCAAACACCATGGTGGGTGGATCTTGCTTGAGGTCCTCCCAAACAACCTTGAAATCTGGATCTGTGGCATATCGATCCTTCATCGCTTCAAATCCCGTAGCATTTACACAAAAAATGGGCAACAGGTATGATCTTCGACTAAGAGCGTCGACAGCCTTGTTTTCCTTTCCGATTTTATGTTTAATTGCGAACTCAAATCGCTGGAGGAAATCAAACCAGCGAGCATGTTTTGCATTCAACCTATTTTGAGAATGGAGGTGCTTCAAGGAGTCATGGTCGGTGAAAAGAATAAACTCACGATGTATGAGGTAGGGCCGCCAGTGTTTCAACGTTTGGATCAATGCATAGAACTCCATATCATAGGCGGAGTATTTTTGCCGTGATTTATTGAGCTTTTCGTTGAAAAAAGCTATGGGATGCCCTTCTCGACTCAAAACACCACTGATGCCGACATGAGAGGCATCACAGGCTACCTCAAAAATCCTAGAGAAATCAGGTAATTTGAGAACTAAGGTGGTTGACATTTTATTCTTAATTTCGAAAAATGCCTTGGCTGTTGCAGCAGTCCATTCGAACACCTTCGCCTTCAAGAATTCAGTAGGTGGGGACATTATAGTGTTGAATCCTTATATGAAACGCCTATAAAAAGTCGCCAGCCCATGGATGCTTCGAATATCAAAAAAAGAACGAGGCGTTGGCCAGTCAAGTATGGCTTGAACTTTTGAAGGATCAGTTTCCACTCCTCTATGTGACACTATGAATCCCAAAAAATTGGTCTTCGGCTTGAGAAAAGAACATTTGCTGCGATTGAGAAAAAGTTGCTCCTTTCGCAAAGTATCTAACACTTGACGAAGATGAACAAAATGATCTAATACCGAATGACTAAAGATGAGGATGGGTCATCACTCGCATGAACGTACTTGGCACATTGGTCAAGCCAAATGGCATCACAAGCCATTTATAGAGTCTCTCCTTTGTTTTAAAAGTTGTCTTCCACTCATTTTTAGGCCTAATACGAATCTGGTGGTATCCATTACGCAAATCAAGTTTAATGAAAATGACAGCACCTCCCAATAAATCCAACATATTGTCGAGTCGAGGAATGGGAAATTAATCCTTCACGGTTATCTTGTTTATGGCTCTGCTGTCGATACACATGCGCCAGCTGCCATCTTTCTTCGGTGTAAGTAATGCAATGCAGGTATGGCGCATGGACTTAGACTTTCGCGAACAAACCCATGGTCCGCCATTCTTGGACTTGGCGTTGAAGCTCAGTGTGCTCGGTTGGGCTCATCCGGTAATGGGGCAGGTTGGGCAAGGTGGACCCAGGCACCAAGTCGATGACGTGTTGAACTTCTCGCAGGGGTGGCAAGTGGTGTGGTAGCTTGTCAGGTATTAAATGTTGATATTCATAAAGCATATCATCAAGCTCGACTGGTATTATACCATTAGTCTCTTTGGCATCTCTGCCGACCAAGAAAAGGATCATTTGCTCTTTTTGTACCGCCTTGGTAAACTCTCGAAGAGTAAGAACTGGGGTGAGTTTCTTGACTGCGTCGAATTCATTGATCGGGAGTCGTTCGAGCACAATTTTCTTATCTCGAAAGATAAAGGAATAAGTGTTCTCAAAACCGTCTTAAGTGACAAGCCGGTCATACAACAAAGGTCGCCCCAAGAGCAAGTGACATACCGTCATGGGGATGACATCACACCATACTTCATCCGCGTGTTTTTTTCCCAATGAGAACTTAATAAGACAGCGATACTTAACGGGAACTGAGTTGGTGTCGTCTATCCAGCTAATACGATACGGGGTAAGGTGTGCTTCCTGTTGCAACCCCAATCGTTCAACCACTTCTCCTGAAATAACATTCATGCCGCTGCCATGTTCGACTAGTGTGTGAAAAATGATAGTTCGTTTCCTCCCATGGTTACCTTGCTCGAACTTGCTGAATGACGCGGCTAGGGAGTGTAGTAGCTTCTAATCGCTCTTCTTCAAGATTGACTCCTTCCATTACAACATCATCGTCTGTGTCATCAATATCTTCGGTGAGCAGTAAGTCCTTTTCGCAAACATAAGCTATTCGTTGGTCTCGAGTAGGACAGACCACAGTGAAATGGCCAAATCCCTTGCATTTGTAGCATTGAGGTCCCTCGCCAAATGCTTTAGCTTTTCTTTTCCAATCACTTGTGGGTCCTCCTAGTGTTGGTTTTGAATTTGGAATTGCTGTTGGTCTGGTGGTCCTAGCTTCGGCAAATGGAAACCTCCGCAGCCTGGCTGAGTTCATCTGCTTTTCTAATTAGAGGGCTACTTGGTAAGCTTCGTGGGTGCTATATGCTCGCGTCGTCAACATTTCTCTTCTTATTTCACTCTTCAACCCATTTAGGTAACGGGCTAAGGTCTGGGCTTCTGTCTCCACCACCTTGCTTCTCACCGTTAGTTCTTGAAACCGTTTAGTATATTGATCGACAGTTGCCCTCACCCCTTGTTTCAGTTGAAGCATATCCTTATAAACAACTTGCTCGTAGTTGATCGGCAAGTATTTTGCCAGTAGCCTTTCTTTCATTTCTCCCCACTCAGAAACAGGAGGTTGATGGGTTCGGCGTAGCTGTTCCTCGACGTTGCTCCACTACGCACGAGCAAGCCCCTTTAGTTTCATTCTTACAAATCTTACTTTGCCGTCTTCTGAAATAGCAAACCACTCAAAATAATCTTCGAGAGCAGTAAGCCAGTCATGGAAAGCATCAGGATTGAGCTTTCCAAGGAAGTAGGGGACATCGACCTTCATTCTCTTGGTTAATTCATCCGAGGGCTCCCTTCAAACATACTGGTTGGCCCCAAATTGACCTCACTGGTGAATTCCTTGTTCATGAAAGACTCTCTGTCCTCTTCCTTCGCCCTTTTGCACCTCGTCTTCTTTTTCCCGATCACTTTCCTCACCCCATTCTTCCCTCCGTGGAGCTCTCCGATCTCCTCTTGGTTCCCTCAATTCCTCACAGTGCCGTCGGACATCCATGACATCCAACCTTCGCACTACCGTGTCCACAGTTTGGGAAAGCTGGTACAGTTGCTGTTGAAGGCTTGTTTGTGCTGGGTTGGGATTGGTGTTGGAATTTTGATCCATAGGATTGTAAGATTGGCTACTTTTGGTTCGGAGCATATAGTGAGGTGTTCAGATCAAACGATGCTCTGATACCAAATTTGATGTACTCTCTTATTTAATCAGAAACTTTCATGTCACAACCTCTCGTTGAGACTGAGAAACTGCTGGAACTCTCTTCCAAAAGAAATGGAATCTCTCCAAATCAAGTATTTGGGTTTTCAATTCTCTCCACCTTTCTTTATTGAAATGTCTGGCTTAATATAGCCATCCAACAGAAACAGAATAACAATAATAGTGCAACAACTAACAACTAAGAGTAACAAATGGGAAAGAAACAGAACTAATGTAACAACTTCAGCCTTGAAATGCTCTGACTTGTGATGCTTGGAGATTGAAACGGTCACAAGAGACTTGGTAAAATGTGCAAAGAATTAGGAACCCAGACCACCAATCACCTCACGTGCTCTGTTTGCATCAAGAAGTAGGTTTCCAAACTCGTAAACCAAGTTTTCCATACTGCGTTTGTGGACATTGATTTAGATTATTAAATCCAAATTAACACTCTTCTGTAGACAAGAAAAAAAAAGAAAAGAAAAAGAAAACAAAGAGAGAAAACGAAAAGAGAGTTCACCGTGGAGTCTCCTAGACTACCATGAGAAAAAGTCTGCCTATTCATGGCTGCTATTTGTAGGCAATTAGAAGCCATCTTCCTGCCATCGGATTGACACCTGCTCGCCCGTGCTCAAAGATGTCAAAGCACTGCCCACTCAAACTAGGAAACTCATGATTGTGGACACATGTACGTCATGCGACTGAGGGTCATCACTTGCAAGGAAACCAACTGTATGGTCCAAATCATAAAGGATGTTGTCGTAGTTCTCTAGGCATGCATTGACAGGCGTGAGGCTTTCATTCCTGGTGAAGAAGGATCTTTCATAAATTCCCTAGCTAGCTTTCTCCTTGGCCAGTTCCATAGCGTGAACGGTAGCATTTAAGTTCATCACAAGGACAGAAACGGGCCGGGGTCAGTCTTGCCATTTAGATATGGGATGATGGAAGAGACAGAATTTAAGGGCAGAATTTACAGTGGTGCGTGGGGGGATCAACCTGCTCGGGTGATGTGTGCAATGGCTTGGGATTGCGAGTAGGAGTAGAACTATATAAGATGAGGATTTGGGATGTAATTGTTGGAAACTTTTTGCGAGGCTTATATATGTAAGCCATTGATGCTGGGGTGCCCAAAATCAAGTTGTCCTAAAATGAGAAACCTTGGATGTTTGCATGGCTAATCAGGTGTTTTGGACAAACCCTGAAATTAGTAGGTTGAAAACCACCTGACGCCAGCCGAGATTATCAAGCCTTATATTTGGAGCATTTGGAGTCAATGATTTAATTTGACTAAAAGAGTGCATATGTCTGCCAATTCCTTGGACGGCAGGTTGATGCTAATATTACTTACACCCTGGGATTCAATTCTTATTATTGTATAACTAGATTGAATCGAATTGTCACATGAACTGTGATGTGGTGATCGAGTTCGGTGTGCCACTTTTTTCAGGTATCTTAAAGACAAATATATCATACAAAAATGCAAAATTAAACTGTTACTTATTGAGAGGGTGTAATATGAACATTTAAGCTAACTAAAGGAGCTGAAGATCGAGTAAGACAATAAAGGATGTGAATAGTGGCGACCAGGGAAGAAACCATGGCAGTGCGTCATTGGAGATATGGATGGCTTCTACCTAGCCAAATTGAAAACTATAAATTGTTCACGTAGCTGAGTCCCAACAGTGTAGTGTACTTTGTACTTTGAACTTTTACTGTTGTCATGATATCATTATTGCTTGTTTATTATTCTTCAATATAAAGGAGAAATATATGTGTCCTTAGGATGTTGGTGCATGATAGTGATTTCTGAACATATTTTTCTGCCTTTTATTATGACTAAAGATGGACACAAAACTAATCTAGTGCTTATTAATATGTTCCTATTTACCCTTTATGTGGTTGTTTCCATGAAGAATTTTTTGTACTTCAAACTGATCATGATGCAAACTATCATTCCCATATATCCAATACATTAAATAGTGTGACTTATTAAAACTATTAGAGAATTATCAAATAAATTCCAAGTTATTATTCATCTTTAATGGTGTGGACAAACAGGATATGTGCACAAATAAGAGTTACTCTGACAAAACATAACAATTCAAAGTTTATATATGACAAAAGTTGTACAGGATATATGCAACTTAAGGGAGTGGACTTCACCACAACATCAAACATCTTGGTTTTCACTTTTTTAAGGTTTTCTAGGTTTAACCATTGCATATGATTGATTAGTGGGTAAGTGTAAGTACCCATGGTTTACTCACTAAGAGTAGGTCTAATGTAGTTGTCTTAGAGAAAATTTTTGTCATTTAAGAATAAAAGATGTAATTGAACAAAAACATGTAAGAGTCGCACGTGCTTATCAAAAGACGTAAAGAAAATACAAAAACAACCTATATGATTTTATCTAAGCAATAAAAAAAAAATATATATATATATATATACTCTCAACTAGACATACTTAAAATTTATAACTACGATACATAGTTTGGATTATGCAATTACTCCTTAAGTACATGCATATTAAACTTGGATTTTATCTAGTCAAGACGTGCCATCGTTGGGACATCCAGATTGGAGGTAAAAATATTAGACAAGCCATTGTCATACAATTGGTAGAGTTTATTAAACCCTATTTCTCTTTTTCATTTTAATTTACAATAATTATGATGAGAGATAAACTTCACAGAATTGGAAGTGCCTAGCAAGGTACCAGTACTTGGTTTTTTTGGCTTTGTAAGTTTTATTGAATATGCAAAGGGCATCTAAGTGCCTGATATATTTAATGTACAATGGATATTTTCTATCTTGTCTAAATTCAGTAAGGCTTTATCATATTAATTAAGTACAAAACAGGGAAATAAAAGTTTTTAGTTTGTACTAACAATGCACGACATGCGTTGCACATGAAAATTTTTGTTGAAACATTTAATAAAATGAATAAAAATTTAATTATATAACTACATTAGATATCATCTCATATTTAAATTATTTGCATTCTCTTCATAACTATAAACATCTAATAGACTTATTTTTTTGTGATTCTTTCATTTGAGCTAACAAGTTGTAAGGTTTATAGATTTTTCTTTTATCAAGTTTTTTTTTCTTTTTGTCTTTCTTGTGTTTACTTTGTGCATCAGTAATTTTTTTTTTCAAATTATTTTGATTCTGAATAAAGAGATAAAATAAATATATCAATTTTTGGGCATTGGAGATGAAATTGTATCAATGGAGATGTTCACGTGTATTAATATTGAGGTTTTGAAAAAAAAAAAAAAGAGTAATGATGGTTTTTATATATCATGTTAAACATAATGTGATCATCCAAAAGTTTTACAAAGATAGAGAGATTTGCATGATATATTAGAAATTAGTTTATTATTTAAATACAAAGGGATATAATGGTAGTTTGAATATTCAAATACAAAATGACATATTAACTTTTATAATTTTTTATAAGGACAAAATAATGAATAAATTTTTTTTTTTTAAAGTACTTTTAATAGTAATATAGATGTTGATAAAATGTATATAGCACAGCAGTGCAACAGTCAACCGGCCACCCTAATAGTCAAAATTACATATAATTTATATTATTATAAAATTTCAAATACTCTTAAAAAAGATAGTATATACATCACTTGTTTTGTTATGATTATTAAAGTCAAATAATGATAACAAATACTTTCACCTCGATTTTATCTACAATTACTTGTGTACCACTAAATGTCAATTTAGGTTCATTAAATTGCCAATAATTTCAATGCAAAATCATCAAATAATCTAAAATTTATAACTCAATACATGCTCTACTACACAAATAGCCTATTATTTTGGCTCAATTCAAAAAATTATTTAACAATTTTTTTAAAAATAAAAAGATATATTTACTCGAGATGAGTTGTCAACAAAATAAGTGGTCACACATATAATACCAACGTAAATTGACGACTACTTAGTTTTTTGTGATTTTCTATTACGTTTTTGTCCCTAAAATAATTATTAATAATTTTAAAAATCACAATATCTATATAACATTTTTTATGCGCGAGAGTCTCCGTTAAAGAAAAGGATTGAATGCTCGTACCTCTACGAGTGACATTTTCTAGATCTATGGTACGATCGGAGATCTAAGTGACCAGATATGTACTTCCTTTTCGTCAATTTATTGAACCACGCTCACCCCCTTATTTGAGTTAGGGGCATAATAGACTGAGTAAAGGCCACTTCTCCCTTTTAGAGATAAGGACGATCCAGCTAGTGCAATTTTTCTTTAAGACGGTTAAGTTAAGTTAAAAGAATGATTAAACTTTCGTCCAAACCTAACTGAGTAAGTCTTTTTATATTATCTAGGTATCTTGATAGTTCATTAACAATATGAGTAAAGTAAAGAAGGGTCCTATTAACCTCGAAATAAAAGTGGGTAGAATGAATCCGCTAACGTTAAGAATGTATGTTGTCCCGATAAACTCGAGTTAGTCTGATAAACTCGATTGGGATGAGAAAGGTGAATTTGTCCCGCCGGTAATGAAATTGAGAAGAAAACTCAATGTAACTATCTTTAGAATTTTGAACCACCTATCCAAGTAAATAACATTTTGTTTAGAAGAAAGAAGGGGGGGGGGGGGGGGGGGGGGTTGACCCCTTTGGCCCTTTAATAATTTAGTCAATGGTGATAATATGCAAGTCACATTTTAGTTTAAGTTGTCCCCAACCACACATCCTCTTTCCAGACCTTGTCATATATATATTCATCACTGGTGTATAATTTTTATTTATTTGTGTGTGTGTGTGCGCGCGCATGGAGGGAATCTCACTTAAGTGAGTTCCCTAATAAAACCAATACAAGAAATGTCAGCCCTTAACAAATTCAAAAAAAAGCAGGCGGTGATTCGAAGACCACCATGGCTTCCAGCTAGTTCACACCCATGTCAGCAAGACAATCAGCACATTGATCCCCTTCTCCTAGGGTGGGTGTGTTGAAAGGAGAATGTTGTGGGTCCTTAAGATGAAGATGCAATTCTTCACTAGGATTTTAAAGGGATGACTAACTGGTTGATTTTTAGAAAGCAGATTGAATACTTGAGAAGAGTCGGTCTTGAGAATGAATCTTCCTCCATTATTAGGAATCAGGTGAAGAGCTTTGTATACACTAATAGGCCACAGTCAAAATTAAAATGGCTGGACGTCCGATTGATTCTGCCAATATCTTCTGCATCAGACAAATGAATCCTCAAAATTAAAATATCTGTGGGCCATGCCTTGCCATGCCATGCCGCATCAAAACACATTACCCGTTGAATCTTCCTTAGTATAGCCGGCCCTGTTGCTAACATAAATCGTGTACCCGCGAGGGCTTATAATATCATATGGGTTCTGTAGGACTCAGTACACCTAATTATATTTATTTGATAAAAAATATATAAATAAAATATTTTAAAAAAAAGTACACAGTTGAGTTACAAACATATAAATTCTCATTTTAAAATCATTTAATTCAAAATTTATTATCTTTAATACACCTTAATTCATGTGTGTTTATTAATACATATAATACGTATTTAATATATCTTTATTCACGTGTATTTGTTAATACATGTAAATACATATTTGATACACCTTTATTTATGTGTATTTGTTAATACATGTAAATATATATATATATATATATATTGTTAAATTTTTTATTTAAATTTTGAATTATCTTTAATACGCCTTGATTCATTCGTATTTTTTTTTTGGAAAGTGATTTTATTTTCAAATTATATCTAATGCATATTGATTCAAGCGTTTTTTTTTTTTGAAAAATAGTTTTATTTTTAAATTAATTTAATATCCAAATAATGTAATAGTATAACAGTAATAGTGTAACTAGGGTTGTCCATAGGCCGGGTTACCCATGGGTCTCGTTACCCGGTCCGAAAAAAATAGGCCCGAAATGCGATAGACCCTATAATTGATCCGCTCGAGCCCGAGCTCAATATCTTTTAAGAAAGGGCTTGGGTTTACCCCTAAACCTATTACCTTGCCCGAAGTTCGGCCCAATAACCCGTCCACATCTCCTAAGCCCGAAGCCCGCCCAAAGCCCATACGCGCTTATATATGTTTTTTTTTGGATCAAACATATATGTTTATGTTAAGAGGTGAAGACTTTAGATATTAATACTAATATATTTTTTTTCATGTATTAAATATTCTAGCTTTTCATGTGCAAAAGCTTTTAATTGGTAGAATTGTGCAAATAATAGATAGGTAGATAGGTGTCAACCTAGTTCAGATGTACTCATTCTATAGTGATGAAATTTATCTTCTATTCATTTGTTAAAATTATTTACTATTTAATTTTTGTTCATTTTGATTTTGACTATATTTTTAATTTAAAAATATAATTTACAAAAAAATTAAATAATGTTGTATATTTTTTCAATAGGGCCCAACAAGCCCCGCCCAAAACAGACTCGCCCAACAGGCCCAACAAAAGTCCGTCCAATAAGTGACGGACTGGGCTGGACTGCGGGTAGCTTACCCCTACCCGAAGCCCGGCCCGACCCGCCACTTGCCAGAGTACGGGCTTAGGCCTACACTACCCAAGCCCAGCCCGGGAAAAAATTTGCGGCCCGACCCGACCCATGGACAGCCCTAAGTGTAACAAATATACTGTAACAAAAACAGTGTACATTAATTTTGTGTATGTGATAACAAATTCAAAACGAAGATGGACTATTTTGAATGAAATTTTATGAAATTATATGTTTAACAAAATGTAATAATATAATATTTTGTGAAAATAGCATGTTACACTGTTATTGTTATATTATTACATTGTTAGTGTTTCATTATTACATTGTTAGTGTTTCATTATTACATTTTTATTATTACATTATTATTGTTACACTATTATACTATTCGAATATTAAATTAATTTAAAAATAAAATCACTTTCCAAAAAAAATAAAAAATACATGAATCAAGGTGCATTAAAAGATAATTCAAAATTTAGAATAGAAATTTAACAACAAGTATATACATACATATATACATAAATATTTATATAAGTGTGTGTGTGTGTGTCTATATATATCGAATATTAAATTAATTTAAAAATAAAACCACTTTCTAAAAAAAAATAAAAAATACATGAATCAAGATACATTAAAAGATAATTCAAAATTTTATATAAGAGACTTAACAACAAGTATATACATACATACATAAGTGTATATATACTTGTTTGAATTTCAAAATTTGTATGTGTATTAAAATTCTCCTATAAAATTAGGAGATGTTTATGCACCATTTTTTAAAGAAAAATAGTGCATTAAATACGCATGGATTAATGGAGGGCAAGAATGTCACAAAAAAATTATTAAAATTCAAATAATGTACTTAGATACAAATAAATATCAAAATTAAAGATTTAATTACCCAATATTTTTTTCTATATACATTTTTACAATTAAGTCTAATTGGGTGTACCTTCTTCTAATTTTTCCTAATATCATTAATACTAGATTGATCAAATTTTGAAATTAAATTTGGAGTCCAAATGACATGACAGTTGACTTGGTCTTCTTTGATTGGTGTCATGTTATTTGAATCCCAAATAAAAATTTCAAATAATCAATTGTCATATTATTTGGGCTTTACATTTGATCCTAAATTTGGTGAGCGTAACATTAGTCTTATAATTTGACAAGGGTTTTGAAAGAGAGAGAGAGAGAAGCGACAAATGTTTACACATTGTGAACCACCCCTTTTTGATTTTTTTTTTCTTTTTGATATCCTATATATTATAAGGACTCAAACAAAGGGTTTACAATATTAGTATGACACAACATCACCATAAATAAGCCTATCTTGACTAACTGTATTATTTGAAATTTATGTATAATTTGTTAAAATTAAGTTAATTAAGTTATTCGAATCGAATTTTAAATTATTAACGAATTCGAATATGAATTATAAAAATAACATTCATCAAATTATTAAATTGAATTTAAATTAAACTTAAAAATTAAATTCAAATCAAATAAAATCTCATTCGAGCTCAATCCTTTGACAGGCGTAATTAAAGAGAGTCTGTCCAATTTAAGTGACAAATGTGAGGGGTATAGATATAATTTAACCTCTCTTTTTAAGGTATTTTATATTTAAAGCAATGATATATGGATTTAAAAAATAAATTTAAAATATATACTTAATAATCATAACTATTAATTTTATTGAAGGTTTCAATATTTATTGAATTCATTACCTATTGATATTCTATAATTATGTTGGGTTATTTATAATATTAAATTTATTTAAAATTTTAGATTATATTAGTTTGGGTCTATGTTAGGGTTGGGGCGGATGAGGTAGGGAGGGATGAGAATTATAAATTTACCTACAGATAAAAATGAAAATGAAAACTATTAAGAGTAGATCAAGACAAAATCTTTTTAAACGGGTACGGCCCCGCCCCGCCCCATTTCGTTCCACTGCTATCCTTATTCACAGCACTGATTCGTGCATCAATTCTATCCTCCGCATTCATCGCTGTCTTCGGAGTTCGGATTCTCCGAAATATACACACATCATCTCAGTGTAGAGTCAATTGATTGGGAAAAAACGGTGGTGCAGAAAGAAGGGGGTTTTATTTCTAAGTGCAGTTCATATGCCATTGGATCGGTTTTGTTTCTGGATTCAGGTTCTCTTTGATCTTTTTCAAGTCTCTACTATTAATTGCACGGCAACAAATAAGTCTTTACTCCTCAAGTTCTTGCGTGTTTTTTTTTTTTTTGTAACTGTTGTGTTCACAATCACACACACCATCGATCAGTTGCAAAACACAATTCTGTCTGTGATTCATCACTGGAGTTGATTCGAGTTTACTATGATCTTTTCTCATGTGCAACTAACAAACTTGTGATCAATATTCTTGTATGAATATAATAAGGTTGCTATGCTATGCTATCAGTCATTCTTTTTCTACGTGTTCCCTGTAATCATTCACATCTTTCGTCTTTTTTGACCTGTTGTACGGGTTCAAATCGCTTTTTTGTTTCTGTTTCTGTTTCTGCTGACTTGGGAAAATTATGCCGTACTCGCATTGTTTTGTTTTCAAAATGCCTAAAGATTACTCTCTCTCTCTCTCTCTCTCTTTTTTTATATCACTTTTTGCACCTGTCATGGGCCTGATCGTTCTTCTCACATCATTTTTCCTCTGTCCACCTTATACACAATCTCTTTTAGCCTTCCTCTCGTTATTGCATAGCTCTGTAGCTATACTGTGTTCCATCTCCTTGGCCGTAGTGAATTCTGTCTCATATTGTGCCCATCTGAGTGGATTACAGACCGAGTAAAGAGAGGCTATGGTTTATTAAGGTCTCTATGTAACCCTTTCCGCTATGCTTTTCATTATCTTTGTAGCCTTTGGAAGTGAACGATTCAGTTTAAGAAACAATCGTAACTATTTTGATTATTAAGATTGCAAAATGGAAATCAGAGCTAATAATGAACCAGGTGATAATTGTGATTCTGTTAACCCCATGTGCTTTGAAGATGGTCGGATTTACTAACTGTTTGGTGTTTATCCGATCCTTGTATCTGCAATAAGTATTACCATGTGATATGTCAACAGATAGGGGCAGGCTTATTGGAGAATACTCCTGGTCTCATAAAAGTCAGTTTCACTTCTTATAGCCCTGATTGCTTGTTCTTTTTTTTTCCCCTTATTAGCCATTATTGTATTGTTCCTTTTGAGGATTCTTTTGAATTTGGTAAGTGCTTGTGTCTAACTGGTGTCACCAACAGGTGCTTTTGTCCACGTCAAGTTGTTCTTTAGACATAAGTACGAAGTTTGGATAATTTCGCTGCTGTTTGTTAATTAAGTTTAATCTATATGTTTTAGTTATAGATGTTGTTTTTTGATGTTATGAATCAATCGAAAATTAGTTTTAGATTTTTGTAGTTAAAATGAACAAGACAAAGTAAAATTGGGTAACATTAAAAGAGTCAACTAAAATGGTAACCTTATCTCTATCTATATACAGGATTGGTGTTCAATATCCTAGTTTTAGCTCCACATTTTCAACTGTGAGGTGAAAATAGCAACTGGAAAGAGTGCCTGTTTGTACAACATCATGTCAAAAGATTGTGAACTAAAGAAACTTTTAAATTTACCTACTGTTTGAAAGCAGGAGGGGTTGGTAATCTCCCCCTTAGGTGATAGGAAACTCAACTAACAGCAAAATAACATGCTTGAGTTTAAGTGCTTTCTATTGGTTTGATTGTACTACAAACGGCCAAGATGAATTTCTACTAGTACTTACTAGGCTTTATTGAATTCTAGAATTCTGAAGATGTGATCTTTTTGTCAATTAATTTTCTGCTTGCAAAGTGTTGAACTCTTCTTTCCTATGTCCCCAGTAAAATTTCCACCTCCTTGGTAGACCTGTTCTTCTAGCATATATCATATTGTCCCTGTACATTGCATTGCTTCAGGTGGATTTTCCCATTATGACATATGTTGCGAGGAAGATAATGTGCTGTCCTCTTCAAGTTTTTTCTTCCTATATGTATATCTTGTGAAAGAGCTTTTCTTTTTGAAAAAAAAAGTTAAAAATTGGAGCAGGGAGAAGCTACTTAGAGGGGAAGAATCATGAGCTGTTTCAACTGTTGTGATGAAGATGATATCAATAAACCTGCCGATGGCAGAGGCCTATACACCATGAAAAATCCAGCAGGTAATAATGCAAACAGGAACATGTGTGGTTTGGATACATAAGCATACCCCTAGTTAATCATAATGGTGACTCCATTTGCCAACACGAAGTAATGTTCTTGTGTGAAGTGTTGATCAAGTTGAATGGAGGATGCACGTTTGTGCTTACTTGAAGTTGGGGCTTGATATGCTTCAGCTTTTTTTTTTTTGTTGGCTTGCAGATAATTCATCTCTAAGCCACTTGATAGATTGAAACTTGATAACCCGTCTTATTTCCCAATTCAAAATGGCTAATCAAGATTTTTTTGTTTGTGCTGGTTTTTGATGTTTCTCTCCCCCATTCTTTTCCCTTGTATTGTTTTTTCTTATTACGCATATTACTGACTTTCCTTTTTGTATTAGCTCGAGTTGGTCCATATAATTTGAGAGTAGATGTCCTCTTTTTGTGAAGGTATTTTCATATATATTCTTTCTTGTATACTATTTTAATATAACTAAGTTTAACTTTGTCATCCAGAAAATGATGGAGGTTACCGTAACATAGAAAGTGCATCCAAGGGTGCTCAAGCTGTAAAAGTCCAGCCTATTGCAGTTCCCGCAATTTCGGTTGATGAATTAAAGGAAGTTACAGCTAATTTTGGAAGTGATTCTTTAATTGGAGAGGGCTCATATGGAAGAGTATATTATGGAGTTCTTAAAAATGGCCGGGCTGCTGCAATAAAGAAGTTGGATGCCAGTAAACAACCAGATGAGGAATTTTTAGCCCAGGTTTAGAAGTCAACCGTAACTTATTACTCTAGCCAAATACTTAAGGCTTTAATATGTTAAGATGCATATTTTTATGCATTTATTATTAAATTTACAGGTTTCTATGGTGTCAAGGCTGCAACATGAAAATGTTGTTGAACTGATTAGTTTTTGTGTTGATGAAAATCAGCGTGTCCTTGCTTATGAGTTTGCATCTAATGGATCTCTTCATGATGTTCTTCATGGTATGTAGATCACATTTTAATGTTTTCAAATTTGAACGCATGATGATATATCTGATGCTTCAAAATGAAGGTTTAGTTGGACATTTGCTTATGGAACATAACTGAAGCAAAATTTTAGTTATTATGCTTTACAGTTTAGCTTTAAAATGGTTCTCAGGGTTCAACCTTCTCTGGAAGCAGTTTCATGCTTTGAGATTGTTCAAGAATCACTATGTTTACGACTTGTTAGCTGACCTGAAAATAGTTTTTACTGTGGCTTGTAGAGTTGGATTTAATATGCCTGCGAGGATACAGAAGTTATTCACATGTCACTACTCTTTTATTAAAACAGTAAGGGTGCCTGTCAGTGCAGTTGTCTGAACAGTTTCAAGATTATCTCCAATATAGGTTGATGCATACGTCTTCTTAATGCTAATGGAGAGTTGGCTTGTTTATCTCTGTAATATGTCCACAATGCAAAATTCTAAGAATTGTCAGTGCACACCTCTTCTAAATTGGTGTTTCTGTTCTTTTTAGTTCTTGTGGTTTTTGAATATTATGAATATGTTGGAGATTATACACATAAGGCAGAGCTGATATGGAAAGCTGGTATCTGACAATGAATGAATTAAGATATATATTATATTTGTCCAATCTAGGAAGGAAAGGCGTTAAAGGAGCACAACCTGGTCCTGTTCTATCTTGGGCGCAACGAGTGAAAATTGCTGTAGGCGCTGCCAGAGGGCTTGAATACTTGCATGAAAAGGCAGAACCTCACGTTATTCATCGTGACATTAAGTCTAGCAATGTGCTATTCTTTGATGACGATGTTGCTAAGATTGCTGACTTTGATTTATCAAATCAATCTCCCGATATGGCAGCACGTCTGCACTCTACTCGTGTTCTTGGGACGTTTGGTTATCATGCTCCTGAGTAAGATCTTAATCCATTATTTGTGCCTATGCATATCAACTTTTTCTGCTAGGTTCACATGAATGAGTTTATATATTTATGGAAATATATACATGTAGATGTAGGAACTTGGCTGCTTGTGTGATGATGTTCCAAAGTTCTATTTAGTAACTTCACACCCCATTGCATGCAGGAATAAATTGCTCTTGCAAAATGTAGGAAAGAATGAAACTTCAAACTCTATTGTGGTTACAACAACCAGAAAAAAGCTACTTAATTTCACTTTCATTTGGTTTCATATATTGGCATTAAAACTGAGCAGGAAAAAAATAAAATACTGAAATTTTTATTTGTTTGAAGAAATTGATGTCAGTGTGCCTTTAAATGCACATCCATCATTTTTGTTCTTGTGATGTGGCAGATATGCAATGACTGGACAGCTGAATGCAAAGAGCGACGTATACAGCTTTGGTGTTGTCCTGCTTGAGCTCCTGACAGGAAGGAAACCTGTGGATCATACATTACCACGTGGACAGCAGAGTCTTGTAACATGGGTACTAATTTTGTTCTGTTTTCCTTTGTCTGTTGTTTGTGTTCTGATTTTAGGTTTTCTTGGAGACTGAGCAACACCATATCTTTTGGAATATGTTTTAGGCCACACCAAAGCTCAGTGAAGACAAGGTCAGGCAGTGTGTTGATGCACGACTAGGAGGAGACTACCCTCCCAAGGCAGTTGCAAAGGTAGTTGCTGACCTTCATATGTGTGGGTGTGTATGGTGTGTAGATGTATAATTTGCTTGCAATGAAAAGGGGGGCCAAAGGATTGCTGGATTACTGTGCACTTTAAGGTTCATTTTTGTTTCTAAAGACTGTTACTGTTAAAACATCTTTTGATGCCTTCCAGAGCATTTTAAAGGATGCATTGTGCTTGAATTTCTAGGAAAACATAAAGATGCTCTGCCTAGAATATTGGGCGGTAAAACATGTATGATGTAGGGGGTAAGATATCTGATGCTTTATTGTTAGTTGCTGTTTCCTGAGCACTTTGTATTGGATGCAGTTGGCTGCTGTCGCTGCGTTGTGTGTACAATATGAAGCTGATTTCCGGCCAAACATGAGCATTGTAGTCAAAGCGCTCCAGCCTCTTTTAAATGCCCGACCTGGCCCTGTTGGGGAAACTCGCCAAACATGAGCATTGCTGAGAAAGCCTTTGGACTCCATTAACGCTCAGCCTTTTGATACTGGTGAAACCATGAGTTTGAGAATTTTCCTCCTCTAAATACACCTCATGGGCATGAGCTGAAAATATCATGTGAGAATTACATCAGAAATTAATGATTTTGAAGATAATGCGTGTGTTGCTATGCTTCCATTTATTACGCAGCATTTGATCGTTCTTAGTGTTTGTGGTGTCTTATAATATGAACTTACAATATTTTTGCTGTATATGTCTATTAGTTATTTTCCATTAATAAAACAAATGGTTAACATATTTGTATTCACACCTAAAATCAAATCACAAATATAAATGAAAAATAAAGAAATTTAAGCACCAATTGTGAGCGGTGGTAGTGGTGGTGGGCAACAGTGGTGATGGTGGGAGATGGTGATGGTTGTGGTGAGCAAGGCGACGATCATGATGGTGGTAGCAGCAGTAAGTGGCAATGGTGATGGTGGTAATGGATTTTGAGCAACAATAATAGTAGTGACAGTCGTGGGTAGCAACAATGGTGGTGGTGGGTGTGGATGGTGTTGGTGGGACAACGACGGTGGTGGTGGGCTGTGATGATGGTAATGATGGATGATGATGGGTACTTCTAGACAACAGTGTGATGGGTGATGACAAATGACAGCGGTTGTAAGTGTGGTGGGGATAGATGACAGTGCGTGGCTGCAGTGGTAAGCGATGACAAATGATGATGGTTGGTGGTGGTAAGGTGTGGTAGGGTAGGTGACTGTGGTTGTTGGCGATGGGGGATAATAGTGGATGGTGGTGGGTTCTGACCATGAGTGACGGTAGTAGTGAGATGATGATGGTAATAATAATAAATATAAGAATAAAATCACAATAGTGGTGGGTGATAGTTATGGACGACGATGGTAGTAATCGGTGGTAGGTGGCGATAGTGGTTGGTGGTGGTAAGTGTGGTGGGGTAGGTGACAGTGGCTAGTGGCGATGATGGGGGGACAATGGATAATGGTGGGTGCTGACGATGGGTGACAGTGGTAGTGGAATAATGGTAATAAATATATGAATAAAATGACGATGGTGGTGGGTGACGGCTATAGACGATAATGGTAGTAATTGGTGGTGGGTGGTGGTGGGAGCAATAGAAATGGTGATGGTGGTGGTAAGTTGGTTGCAGCGGCGATGGTGGTGGTGGTGATGGTAATATGATGGGAGTGGTAGTGGTAGTGATAGTGGTGGTGGAACGATGGGGGTGATAGTCGTAGAGGTAGTGGTGGGGCGATTTCAAAGATTATTATTTTTAAAGTACTTATCAAAAATAATTCTTAAAAAATAATTTTAAAAATTCACTCCAAACACACTTTTAAAGGTTTGTTTTTTCTATTAATTTTAAAGGTTTGTTTTTTCTATTAAATTTGAGGTGTTATTAGCTGTTAAATTAACTTTAAAATAAAATTTAAAATAATCCCAACTGCAAATAGTAAAATTCATTTTGTTTATTTTTTTGGAGTCCGTTTGATTAGGAAGAAAAAAAATAATGGAAAGAAAAAATAATAGAAAAGTGAAGTGAAAAAAAAGAAAATGATAGAAAATATATTTTCATACATGTATTTGGTTAAAATGAAAACTTTACAGGTAAGTTTTAAAAAAAAATTAGTCTATTATTTGAAAGAAAGGAAAGTTATAAGTAATTTTTTATAATTGCCTAATTATATTAAATCGTACTAATGAGTATTTGATGCAATGATACTTTTTATCTTGTGAAGATTTGTCTTCTTGAAGTCAAAGGTTCAAGTCTTCTACCCCCTCCCCCTCCCACTCTCACTCCCAATCCCAAAAATAAATAAATAAATAAATAAAATAAAATAAAATAAATATATATATATATATATATGATGTATTAATATTATAAAAAAATTGTATTAAATCGGTCTAAAAAGAAAAAAGTAGGAAAATATGTAAATATAAAGTTAAAAAAAATTCAAAACATAATTCTAGAACAATCACAGATACAAGATTTTTTTGGTCAAATTATATGATTAATCAAAGTCATACTAATTTTTTTTTAAAATTAATAACTAATTCAATATTTTTTTAAAAAAATAGAAAAAATTTTATCTACACCCCTTCTAATTAGTCTTAAATTCAATGACACCCCCTCTTAATTTTGAAATTTCACTATACTCTCTTCTGATTTATACTTTCAAATCATAGAGATCACCTTTTGAAAAATGTCAAAACTACCCTTCCTCGGGTAATGACAGATTTATCCTTTTCCTTTCTCAAATAACGTTCAAAGCATCTCTTCTCACTCTCGTTTCAGGCCATTCTTCTGAATTGAGAGCTCTTGTGAAGGCCACGACGAAGGTGAAGAAGAAGCTGTTTGGATGTAAACATCTAAGTTTTGCTCTCTCTCTCTCTCTGGACCGAACGAAGAAGAGATCTGGCTCACGAAGGGATCCAGATCTGCTTCCGCCAACCATTCCCACCCTTTTTTCTGTCTCCAAACCAACATGTTTTCCGTCTTTCAGAGTACAACATCTGTCTTTTTCGCTTGGTGGCGGTTGTAGTTAGATCAAAATTCTAATTTTTTTGGATTATTTTTTACTATCAGGTGCATGCTTAATTATACTTGGTATGAGAATTAGGTCTCAAAGTTCTTCTGAATGCAGGCAATGGGGGTAAAAACGAAGAAGCCCTAAAGCATGTTAAGGCCTTGACTGAATTGGGTCTTCGCCCTGTTGGTTTTGATGCTCTTCATTCACCGTAGCCATGTACTGAAATTACTTAACAAAAAAATATGACAACCGAATGAAGAGCCAAAATTACATAATCATTAATTTTTTTTAAAAGAAATCAAAATTTATTTCGTTTTTCAAAAAAAAATCCCACAATCTCAATATCACAATCCCACAATACTAAATGTTTGCTACAGAATATGAAGATATTTTTGGAGGTCCAATTGTCATACCAAACTACCCAATTTGGCAGAGAAATTAAGGCAAATTTCAAAGAGAGAGAGAGAGAGAGAGAGAGAGGGAGGGAACACCGACTTACTGAAGTGTTCTAGTGGTCGCCTTAGTTGAAGGCTTGAAAGTTGAAGCTTCTCATCGATTGAGTCAGAGAGATCGAGCTTCCCTGGGCTTCTGTTCCTTGCCTAAGAGTTGAGTGGTCGCCTGAGTGGTCATCTGAGTGATGAGTGATGGCCTGAGTGGTGAGTAGTGGCCTGAGTGGCCACTGACCTGCAAAGTGCGAAAATGGGTTGGTAAAATATGGGATTGATTTAGGGCAAAAATGGCCCAAACAAGGATTTATATATATATATATATATAAATCTAGGAATATAATCTCCCAAATTTGAACTTCCATGAAGCTCCATCGACTCCCTCAAAATACCCTGAATATTGACAATTGAACAAAAGTTCCATGACCTTTGGCCTCAAGTGCACCGTCATGGGCTTCTCTCGGGAGTTTTGGTACAATTCCTTCATCCTCAAATTGACTTTATCTTCCCAGATACTCGTAATATGACCAGACGTTTTGGAGAGAAATTTTCTAAAGCTGTGAGGCGCCTTAGGTTTCGCCAGTGATCGTCATAGGAAGAGAAACCCATTGTGGTGTTTTAATTGGTGTTGTTCTACAGGTCTTCTTGCAACAGACTATTA